AAATGTCAAAACCATTACCTGTTATGGAAAACAGTTATAAGATACAAACTCTAAATTTTAAACTAGAACTAATGTACTGAATGCTATGACGAAACAGAAACAAGCAATACAAATGCAAGGTAAAAAGTCAAACCTTTGACTTAGAAAGTAAGAAGTTACGAGGTAAAAAGTCAAACATTTGAGTCGAAATAATGAGATAAAAGCAAAAAAAATAAAAAATCTGACTTTCATTTTCAGTTTGTGACTTCGTAGTATTGTGATAATTTTTATTTAAAAATGCAAAGTATAAGAAAACATCAGATGAGAATCTGTCAAAATGTTGATGAAAAAGCAGAAAAAGATTTTTGATAAAAATGCTAAACTTAAGATAAATATGAATGAATAAATAAATAAGAGGATTATGGTTTTTAAAAAGTTATCTAAAAGATGCAAGACAAAAAAAACCTTACTTAGGAAGTTAGAAATTTTTAGATGAAAAAAAAGTCAAAATTCAAAATTACACATCAAAAACCAAATTCACCGATTCAATACTGTGATATAAAAAGAAGATAAAAGCAAAAGTAATAAAACAAATGCAAGATAAAAATGTTAGCTTAATACACTGTGATCAAATGAGAATATTTTTACTTAACGATTCAATGAGATTTTTTAAAAAGTCAAAAATATATGTGGAGTCAAGTTTTGACTTACAGTTTTACATCATGTGATAAAAGGTGAAAATAACTTTGACTTACTAAGAAAAGATGATAAAGTGTCAAAATTCTGATTTACTAATTCAGTGTAACTAAAATGGCTAAATGTTGCAATTGTAAGTGAGAATAGTCAGCTAAAGGGTCACAAACAGAAAAAAAAGTCAGATTTTTGAGCTTTTATCTTATTATTTTTGGCTCAAAATGTTTGTTTTTTGTTTGTTTGTTTTGTAGTCACATAATATAGACAGAACATCTCACATTCATGTCTTTTGAATATTTTTTAATATGGCAGGAATGGGCCTCCATAGGGAAACCACTTGCCTTCACTGTAAATGACTTTCGTCTTAATCAACCTTCTTTCTGGGATAATTGCTGCAATAAATCCTGGAAAAAAATAGCTGCTGTAAATCTTAAAAGTGAAGAGGTCACGGTTATTCTTAGCTCAGAAAATATACGTTTATTGGGGAGTGTTGACAGCTTCTGTCGGAAAGTCAGACGTGTTGCTAATAGCGTTGGTGTTTCTCCACCCAGTGATGTTAGAGCCCGAGGACACACCATTTCTCTGCTGACTGACAGCACAAAACTGCACTTGCGGCTTCCTCGGTGGACGGAGGAAATATTTTCTTTCGGGGATTTTCTTATTGTTGTGCTTTTCTTTGCTTTTCTCTTTTCTCACATAGACCTGATGCAATTTTTTTTTGCAGGCAAGTTAGAGGTGAGAAAGCTGTAAGTCCATAAAACTATCCAACAAAAGAGAAATGCTGCTTTGTGAATAACCTAGGCTTTGTAGTGTCGTCAGAAAGTAGCACAACAGGTTACATGACTGTATTAAACAAAGTAGAAGAAACCCAGCTGTTTGACAAAAGAGAAAAAAAATCCACGACGAAGAAATACAAAAAACTTTGTCCATCTATGAGAGAAAAATGTAGAAGTGCATTCCAGTATCCATAATGCCATACTATGTAGTAAGCCAGTAAAAGGTCAAGTATGTCCCAACATATACTGACTTGGGAGAGTGACAAAGAGAAAGCCACTGTTGAAAAAAGTTTATTTTAAGTCTCGCCTAGAGTAGGTGGTATGCTAAGGTATGTAGGAGACTCTGAATTCAACTGGAAGAAGGTTGTTTGGTCTGATGGGCTGAAGCTTATTGGCCATCAGAATAGACACTTTGTTTGGCAGACACCAAACACTGCACATTATCACAAACACACACCATCCCCACTGTGAAGCACGGTGGTGGCAGCATCATGATGTGAAGCATGGTGGTGGCAGCGTCATGATGTGAAGCATGGAGGTGGCAGCATCATGATGTGAAGCACGGTGGTGGCAGCATCATGATGCGGGGATGCGTCTCGACAGCATACCTGGAAGGCTCATAAAGGTAGAGGCTAAAGTGAACGCAGCAGGTACAGGTACGTCTGAAGACGTCTGCAAGAAAACTGCAATTTGGGAGATTTGTTTTCCAGCAAAACAATGATTCAAAGCATACAGCCAAAGCTACATAGAAATGGTTTGAAGACAACAAGGCGAATGTTGTGGAGTGGCCGAGTCAGTGCCCAGACCTCAATCCAATTGAGAATTTGTGGCGGGACTTGAAAAGAGCTGTTCACTCTCAGTCTCCATGTAACCTGACTGAGCGTGGGCAGTTTAGGGATGTCCTGAGGCTGATCATAGGGTTTTTAAGGGCTCCATATTTGCTCAGATGTTTGACCGGATCACATCTGTTTTTGCAGAGAAATGAGAAGTTAAGTCACATGAATAAATATCAGTTGTGTTACTGAGTTATAGTGTCGGTTTTGTAATTTATCCCAGCACAGTTTGTCACTTGTTTGCTGGCCTGGTCCAGGTCAGTAAGCCTCATGCAAGTCTCTGTCATGGTGACCACTTAATATATTTGACTATGATTCATGTAGAAACTGTGACCTTTATCACAGCCACTACCCATTAACCATACGGCCGGTATCCCTTTACCATCACACAAGTCTTCGTCATGGTGCCCCTTTGGTTGGTCAAACAGTAAGAGGCACATCCAGGTCCTACAGCTCATCTACACAACATTTTCTGACATGCATGTCCTTGTCTTTGTGAGCATCCTGAACTGAAACACAGCTAACAAGAGCAAAGGAAAGACAGATACTGTGAGAAGACACTAAAAGCAGTCACAGTAATAAAGAAGTCTCTGTTTTAAGGTGGGACCAACACACACACAGGCTTCATGGATGATTCAGTTCACCGGATGAAACCAGAGTTACAGACAGTAACAAAGACTCTCCTCTTCTCGGCTTCTTCTTATCTCACTTCTTTCCTCATTTCATTTCATCACCTCTTACGTCTTGTACTCTCCTGTCTCCCCTTGTTTGATCTCGTCCTAGACATTCTTTTCCTCTCTTCTCCTTGCCTCGTTTGTCTCCCGTAGCTTCTTCCCTTCTGCTGTAGTTTTTCTTTCCTCTGCGCTCCTTTCCCATCTTCCCTCTCCTTCCCTCTGCTGACTCTCCCAGGCTCTGTCAGATAGACGTCACAGATTAGGAGATGAAAAGCTTTGCGGTGGCGGAGCAGCAAAAGTCAAACTTCTTGATGTGGTTCTGACCGGGACCCTGGGATCTGTTGTTCTTTCAGCGATGGCTCCATAAGACAGACTGATCTCCCCTTCATATTCTCCATTTGTAGGCGTGTGCACATGTGTGAGTGGGAGATTTGATGCTGTTCACACAGGTGGGCTGTGTTGCCTCTCCCCCTCCCTGAACCCGATAACTCTGCTGGGAATGAAAACACAGTGAAAATAATGGAGAGAAAAGTGTGCGAGCATTGAGATATTAGCTTTTTTTTCCGAATGAAAATCACAGTTCACTCAGTTTTCTGTATAATATTGTTTATGCATTCACTTATAACCTGTCTACAGCTTTGTAAAAATCTTTATATGCTGCTTTTTGCTTGCTAATATCAGAGCAAGCAAAGCAGTTTCTGTTGTTTTATTGGTTGATTTTCTTCTTTGTCTTTGCTCCTGTCACATTTTTCTTCACTGTGGGGTCATTTTTCACTGCAGTACTGTGTCCCACACCTCGTAGTTCTGTGTTGTTTTGTGTCTCAGTTTGGTCACTTTGTCTTTTGTTTTGCTGTTTTGTATCACATTTTGACCATTTAGTGTCTGGTTTTTATTGTTTTGTGTCATTTTTTGTCTTGTTTTACTAGTTTTGACAACTTTTGCATCTTGTTTTGTATCTTATTTTAGTCATTTTGGACATTTTGTCTCTCATTTTTTTGTTGTTTTTGTCCCATTTTTACCATGTTTGTGTTATTTAATTTATTTTTTCTCTTGCTAATGTAGTTTTGCACCTCATTTAGGTTGTTTTGTGTCATTTTGTATCTTGTTTTTGTAGTTTTGAGCAAGTTTGTATTTTATTTCGTGTCTCATTTTGTCTCATTTTTGTAGTTTCGTTTCTCGATTCTGTTGTTTTGTGTCCCATGTTGGTCGTTTCTTGTCTCATTTAGTTTATTTTGTCTCTTGTAGCTTTGTATCTCATTAGGGTTGTTTTGTATCTTGTTTTGTGGCATTTCGTATCTCGTTTTAGTTGTTTTGTGTCATTTTGTGACTCCTTTTTGCTGTTTTCATGACCTCCACAAACCTTTTCACACGACTCTGCACCACGCTGAATGTATCTTCCAACCACTTGCGGACAGTTTGCTTCTCTGAATACTGCCTTTCACTTTCAAAGAGTTAAGGATTCACAGATTCTTTTTGTTTTTACAAAAAGATTCTGTTTCTGACACCACAGTGTAATACATGATGTACATATGTAGCTAAAGCTATTACATTACTGTAAATATATATATACGAGATAACAATCCATTGTCAGTGCTGCTCATGTGTGCCAACATCTGCTATAGTTTCCCTTTAGCTTGAACTACAGCTTCAAAAGCTTCTGTATCAGTCATACGTGTACTGTGGAACCTGATAATGACCTTTACTGTGATAAGATTGTGTTTTTTAGCTCGATCTCACTTCCCAAGAGAACATTACAATGTAAGCTGTCTCCCTCTTGTACTCTGAGTGACCAGACTTTGGTTTGATTTATGTTTATTGTCAGGGCGAGGACGTGGAGAGCAAACAAAGAGAGAAGGAGTTGAAAAGAAGTGAAAGAGAAGTGCAGCTGGAACACCAGAGGTATGAACAACACTTTACATCTTTACATATTTTACATAAAAGCACAGAAGTTTGCAGAAACAACACTTGAGGGCTCTGGATATGAAGCAAAGTTGGAGCTACTCGGCGAGATTAATCATTTGTTTTGTTCATCCCTTTGGAATAAAACCAGCGTCGAGAGGCCAGGTCGCTGAATGTTAAGTGGCTGCGAGCAGTTTACTGACCTCACTATATTTTAGTGGGTACAGGAGTTTAAAAAGCTGTCAAACACTTCTCGCTCGCTGCCATTTGGAGCCTGCAGGCGCGTCAAGTTATAAAATAAGTTTTATGCGAGCAATTTTTTACATTTGACAGGGTGAACTCGGATTTTTTGGACAAACTCCAGGGTCGAGGCAAAGGGAGCGAGACGAAAAAGGAAGCAGAGCGTCCATATGTGGCCGAGGAGGACTTTAAACAAGAGACGACAACTGGACACTTCAGTCACCTGAAAGTAGGACAGAGCTGCTCGGCCTGGACTGAAGAAGCTGGTGAGCAAACGTGTGAATAAATAACCCCCCAGTCCGCCGGTTCTCGCGCCTTTTTTTTTTTTTTTTTTAAAGTCTGCCTCAATGCTGGTTAACCAAACCCAAATCAGACAAGCGTTGCCCACCTCGTCCTTTTTTAAGGGGACGGTGATTGTGTGTTTAGTCTGTGTTAAATCAAAGGTTTTACGTGCGTCAAAAATGCAGGCCGGAAGTTATGATTAGTGAAACAGTTGCTCCTGGCATTGAAATCCTGCTGATACATGTGGGAAAAAGTGTGTCTCGAAGTGAGTAAGATGGTTTTTTCCCTCTTTTTCTTAGATACCAAATAGGTGTGTGAGTTTACAGCCTGGTCGCAGAGATCGTCAGAGCTCGACACAAACACACGGCACTATTAAGCTTCTGTCAGTCAGGGAGGGAGTTTTTTCTGGAAACCAGGCAGCACTGACAGACTCTAGGCCTGCAGCCAGCAGACATGCCAGAAGAAGCAGCTCCGCCCTTTTATAATTCACCTGTACTGACACCTGACTGGATGCACGAACAAATACCTGCAACTCACAGCGCATAAATGAAAATATCAAGTCCATTACCTGCTGCACGGGAGCATGTCCTGCTACTGTAGCTGTGCAGGCTGCACGTAATGAAACTTATTCTTCTTGGTCATTGTTCGTGACGTTTGTTTAGCTTCAGTGTACACAAGCTGACAGGCGTGCAGATTAAGAAATGCAAAGAACAAGTGTTTTAATTATTGAGTTATTGCTCCACCATTTTCTCACTCAATCAGAGTCATCGCTTTTCGTATAAAATGCATTATTCCAGCTACAGTTTAAGCACTTGTGCAAATAAAATCAGAAATCTATAAGGAGAACGCAGCAAAAGTCTAATGATAAGCAAAATTCACAAAGTGTTTCTTCCAGTACATAATTCTTAATGCTCATTCATGCTTTCTGCATCCAAAAGGGGACACGTGATGTGAATTTAATTACCCATCCAAGTCTGCAAGGCTCCACACGCAAACCAGAATTCATGACCATGTCGACAGTACATACATACAACTGCACATGTGCACGGAAAACAAATGAGGAGAGACACCTTTATAATTAATCATTAATAGATGTGTAATTACACTAGATGCTGCAAATCTCCAGATATCCTGTGCTATGTCCAACCGCTGTGCTTGACACTGAAGCCAGCGACTATAACCTTTAAAAATGTGCACGGCCTTTTCAGAAACATCCACAGGAGCTCAGACTGTTCCAATGCGTTTGATATGACGAGCAATGAACCGAGTATCTATTGTAGTACAAATAGAACTACCTGCAGGCTAGAATTAGTGACTGTGTCGACTGTATGAACTACAAGCGAACCAACTGGTACAAGGAAAACAAATGAGAAGAGACGGCATGAGGAGATTCTCCATCATCCACACCTTTCTAATTCGTCGTTAACAGAGCTGTAATCAAAGTGGACGCTGCAAGACTCTAGAGGTGCTTCGATTTTTTTCATTGATGGAACCCAAACTCAGCTGTAAAATCTCCAGATATCCTATGCATTGTCCACACACTGTTCTCGACACACCTCAGGAATAATCAAGCAATGCTCCAGTCCAATCTGTAACTAGCTGCTATGTCCTAAAAAAAATGCAAAGTCACAGCCTGTCAGAAACATCCACATGAGCCCCGGATGTGTTTGATATGAAGATTGATGCAACTGTTTCAAACGGACGCATATCTATTGTAGTATGAAAAGAAGCAGCTGCATGTCTGCTGTTTGTTTTCAAAGTCTGAATGTAACTCAAATGTTGCAAACTGTCAATAAGAAAGGAAAGTAAAGTAAATGTTGGACAGCATGTTAAAATGTCAGCCGCCATCAGTCCAATGGCTGTGGCTCAGGTGGTAGAGCGGATCGGTCAATTGGAAGGTCGGCGGTTCGATCCCTACCTGTAACCTGTTTCATGGTCGTTGTGTCCTTGGGCAAGACACTTCACCCACCTTGCCTGGTGTGAATACGTATGAATGTTTGAGGTGGTGGTTGGAGGGGCTGTAGGCGCAGAATGGCAGCCATGCCTCTGTCAGTCTGCCCCAGGGCAGCTGTGGCTACCACCACTGGAATGAATGTGTGTGAATGAATACTTGACAGTGCATGCGCTCTGAGTTACTCCCTGAGTAAGAAAACGCTACATAAATCTGATCAATTATGATGTCTATTTTGGCAAAATGACCGACATTGATCAGGTTGTTTGACAAGCAACAACTCAAGTGAGGCAGCTTTTAGACATTAAAACTAAAAAAGGTTTTTAAAAAAACAAAACAAAAAACTTAAAACTGTGTGTTTCATTTCAAGCGGTCACATGCCCAATCAAGACTTCAAACCCATAGAGGAAGCCACAACATTTTTCAAGTTTGAGGTTTTTTTCTTTTCTACACAAGTGACTGTTATTTTTCTGCTCTATCGACTTATCAACCACATTGGGCATGATGCGATTTTCTTGTTGACAAAAACAAACTCCGTTTCTTCCCTAAGTTGCACTGATTCTTTCATGACAGGCCTCAAACTCGACTTTTAGTGCCTCCACAGTCTCCGGTCTCATGTTGCTGTACATGAAAGTCCAATCACAGCGAGGCATACATTTGAAATTTGGAAAAACTGAGATATTTAGTATTGGATTTGACTTCTTACTGACAGAGGAAGAGTTGAGAACCGGTCTTGGTTTTCTTTATATCCAGCTCAAAACCCAGATTACAAACCGTCTCATCCTGCCTCTCCAGAGAGTTTCATTCTTGATTAGCTGCCATCCAGACTTTCACCACAGCAGGACGACTTCACTAGTCTTCGAGGTTAAAGCTAAAATACCCAAGAATATTTCAAACCTTCAGTCTTGGCGCTGCTGCTGTGGGAGCAGTTCTGCATGTCACAACGCCACAACATCCTCAATCCATGACAAACCGCCGCCTGTATTTCACCAACATCATGATCATGTCGTTCTGCTTTGCCAAAACCTGCCCGAACCAATCCTGCCTGCTCGGGTGACGGCCTTCATTTTCTGTCCCTCACTGTTTTCCAGTCCAGCATTTCAGAGTTTCTGGTCATAGAACCGGTCCAGAATATGACGGCGAGAACCACCAGAAGTCGGATTCTGGACGGCGTGGCGAGTAGTTTCAAGTTGCGTGGAAGAAATGACTGCAAATCCTCAAATCCCCCTTTTCCTCTCCCGTCTTTTAGTGGATTTGAAAACAAAGGAAACAGCATTTTGGGGAACCTCTCACAACCTTTGGTGACTGAACGTTACCAAAACAGACTTTTTTTAATTTTTAATTTTTTAAAGTAATTTACTATTATTTTACAACTAACTGCAGAAAAAAACAAGCAAAAACAAAAGCATAAATTTTTTGCATTAACTATTTAAGAAGCAGATCAAAACTGTAAATAATGTCCAAATGAAAAATGTGTATTTTTACAAATAGTAATTTGCTCTTTTACAATGTGTGACAACAAAATTTGATTTTAACAAAAAACAAAACAAAAAAAAGTTTCAAAACAAGCAAACAAATAAAGCGTTTCATTTATATGGTAATCATAAAAAGAACAGGCCAAAATGGTAACATAAGGTCCACAAAAATTTATATTTTTCCAAATATTAATCTGTTCTTTTACAACATCTGAATTAAATTACAGATCATTAACTATGAAAAACACACCATAACTGTACATAAGGTCCATATAAAAATTTGTAGTTTTACAAATTACTGTTTTACACCATTATTTCACATTTGACTATAAAATTACACCATTTTATCTGTATTTAAATCTGCTAAAAAAATATCATTATTTTGAAGATATTTGCACTTACTTACTTACTTACTTACTTACTTACTTACTTACTTACTTACTTACTTACTTACTTATTTATTTATTTTGCAGGGTCTGAAAGTTACAGTATTCCACAGTGTTATAGCGTAATTTTTCTGGCACCATTGTTGCTAGATTCTCACCATTTTTTCTTTTTACAGGATTGTATTTATTTATTTTACAGTGTACTATTTGATCCACACAGGGAAATTAATACAACTTGTGATGCAAAACCTCCAACAGTGCACCAGAATGACTGAAAGGCTTGTATGTGAGGAGCATCAAACAACCTTGTTCCTCGTGGGAACAATAAGGAACAAATCGGGTTCTGCATATGTGGATTATTTTCTTCCTGTGTGTTTTTCAGCCCTGGAGCCTGACTACGACTGGGCTTTGATGAAGCTGAAGAACAGATTTCCACAGTGCAGCGTAGGCTTCCTCGAGGACATCCTTCACCAGTGCAACGGCGATTACGAGGAGGCCTCAACACTACTCATCTGCTCGCTCAGTTGAATTTTATGTAGCTTTAATGGAGAAACGGCTGCCTTGATATTTGGTTTGACTTTTTACGAGATGTGGCAAATGAAAACACACAGTGAGATCTGGGAATATTTGAATAGTGACACAATTTTCCTTTTTGTGGCTCTGTGCACCACCACAATAGACAGAAGTGCAGACTTTAATTGAATGGGTTGAACAAAAATCAATCACGCGAAACATTTAGGACATTTTTCATCGGAATCCCCTATTTTCAGGGGATTAGATGGAGCTGGGTAATAAATAAAATCCTCATTCTTGAATATTTGTCGAAAATCCTTCGCAGACGATGACTGTCTGAAGTCTGGACCGTCACCAAAGATTGGGTTTCCCCTTTGTGAAGCTTTGCCAGGCCTTTACTGCAGCTGTTTTCAGTTTTCAGAGGGTGTTTCTACCTTTAGTTTTGTCTTTAAAAGCAAAATGCATGGATGCATCCAGTTGCAATCAGGCAATTAACCCACTCACTGCAGAAATATTCCACTTCTTTACCCTCAAAAACTCCTGGGCTGGTCTTGCAGTATGTTTTTGGGTCATCTGTACTGCAAAGTCTTGTGTCTCCATTTATTCTTGACTAACCACCATCCAAACATTAGCCACGGCGAGGCGACTTCACTAGTCCGAGGTTAAAGCTAAAATATCCAAAAATATGTCAAACCTTCAGCCTTGGCAGTGCCGCTGTGGGCACAGTTCTGCATGTCATAATGCCGCAACTTCCTCAATGCATGACAAACTCTGGCCTGGATTTCACCAACATCGTGATGATGTGTTTCTGTTCTGCTATACATAAAGAGATGTACTGGATCTGAACAGTTTATCCTTTCACACTTCACAGGCCGAGCACCCCTATGCCAATTAAATCACACTGCCTTGACAGAGTTTTCCTGCTAAACATTTTTCTTCCTGCCATTCTGGTGCAGGTTGAACTTAGGTTCATCTGTCCAGAGAATCTTGTTTCAGAACTGCTCTGGTCTTTTAAAATGGTTTTTGGGCAAGTTTAGTGAATCTTTTCTATTTTTAAAGCTTATATGTGGCTTGCACCTTGCAGTGAACCCTCTGTATTAGCTTTTGTGAAGTTTTCTCCTTTTGGTGAGCTTAAATAACAGCATTACTACCTCTTGGAGAGCGTTCTTCGCTTGGTTGGATGTTTAAATGAGGTTAGTCTCCATAACTAATAATGCTGTAGGAGTGCTAGCCTTAAAATTCATTTTGTCAGGTAATGTATTTTGTATAATTTTGATAGAGTTTTAATTCCTAATATTGACATTACTCAAGGAAAATGTAAACAACACGTAGAGTCTTAACCTCAGTATCTGATCCTGTTTGGTTAATTCGTAACGCCAGATTTATGTCTAATGTTCCTCCTAGTGAGCTGTCATAGCTACACCCTTTCTCCAGTTCGGATACCCTCAAATTAAAGTTGACCATCTGCACTTTAAAGCCATATTTGTTGTATATCTGTGACTGCAAATGTATTTTTAAATGGCAAAAAGTGTCTGAATATATATGGACGTAGCTGTACAATTAGATGAAAGAGCAGGAAGAAGCTCGTTCTACGTTGGTGGTGGATGAGCGTAAACAACAGTAACGCAGGGCTGCACTGAACAGATACCTACAGAGCAGTACGTGCTTCTCTGTTTTTGATCTGTTTTCGATTACGCTATTAATCACGGACTGTTTGGTGTCTTGTATCTGTCTGCATGCACTGGTGACTCATGTCGGGTTTCTGCCCTGACACGGAGCTGAATTGATGTTCGTTTTCACCAGTTTGGTTGAAGGTCATCGTCGTGACTCATAATCTTTAGATCATATTTAGGGCTCCTAATTAAAACAGTGTGTGCAGTTGGGGGGAATAAAGCTCTACCAGATACACAACGTTTTTTTCTTTGTTTTATAATCAAAGCCGCGTGTGATGCATCTACAGCAGGATGACAAAAGACGTAAATCCAGTCGGGACTCTCTGCAGAAAGGCCTCCTATGGTTGGTTTCAGTTTAAAGTCATGGCAGCTAAAGAGGGCGACAACAACACGGCTGTTTGTTTATTCAGGTTTGTGTGTCGTAGTTACATCAGTTTCAGGTGTTCAGTGGCCTCATACCTGACCAAGGAAACAAAGAACAAACAGTAGTGCAACACAAACAGCTGAAAATCCCCTTCTACTTTGGAGTGAAGCGTTTTAAGCCTTCGTGTCCTTCATCTAGAGATGGAAAAAAAAAAAAACAAATGTCTCTTACAGTTATCTACTTGTTACGTTAAAGGTCGAAATGTGTTTGGACTATTTTAATTTCCTGGAACTATCTACAGTGAGTGCCAGGAAAACAAATTCCATCCTTTGTAAAGTAAATATTAATTCAAATTTAACCTGCTGTGATCTGACCTAAAGACTCTCACAGTTACCAATGGGAACGCTTCTTCCAGGAAACCTATTGGGATTTTATCAGAAAAATATTAACACAAGGAATTACCAAAGTCTTTACTTTCTCAAGGGCCTTGAATGAAGCTAATAATGAAGTATGAGTCCAGTCAATTTAAAACAACAGCTGTTGCTCCAAAGTGCTTTTCTGTATAAAAGAAGCTAATTGGCGTTACGAATTAACCTAAAACGTTTGTGTTATTTATGGTGTGATTGGGATTATGAATGGCGAGTATGAATGGTTTAAAAATATTAGATAGTGATTGGTTTAATTTAGCTTAAAGCCTGGAAACAAGGGGAAAAACACACAATTTGTCATTCTTGTAAAATGTTAATCATTGTGCAAGCTCGGGCTGAACCCGAATATTCGCCTATTCACATAATTACTTGTTGTGTTGGTTCAACAAATAATTCTCTTTTTTTAAATTCAGTTCTCATTTTTAGGGTTCAGATATTTGTTTATTTGTGTTTTTTCCCCAATAAACACAACTACACAAGATGTGTTTTGTCAGCACATTCTTTTACTGTATCTATACTTTCCCATTGTACTGTTGAAATGTGAAAAATTGGGATGTTAATGATAAGTTGATTAATTGCTGTCGACAGATTACAAATACATTAACAGATAGGGAAGAAGAAACAGAACACGTGGGTCAAGAAATGTATTATACCTTACATGTAGTACCTGGTTGCGCCACCAGCAGGAAACTTTTACTGTTCAATGAGATGGGAGACTGTGTTTATTACTGTACCGACCCGAAGAGGCGATCACACAGACTACATGCAGTTCAAAATTGGCAAGCAGAGAGCAATGTGGCTGTTTAGCTAGCAATGGGCATCATGACAACGACTACTGTGGCGATTAATGGCAACCTTTGTTTAGTTGAATAATTAATGCAACCTGGCTAGTTTTGCAGCACGTGTCCCATGTCAGCATATGGAATAGTGTTTAATGTTAAAATGTTAAAATTACGTTTTCAGCCTCAGTGGAAGTCATCATGCAGCAGTACTACTTCAAAAAATCCTACTTCAGTAAAGTTACCAAAGTATGAGCAGCTCAACTGTTGTAACTGCTGCAGGTTTGAACTGCTTTATTTTAAATCCAGTTTTATGTATAGAGACAGCAGAAAAATGTGAGGACTCCAAACATGATTAACAGGGGAGGGAAGACGGAAAGTTCTGATTCACAAATCTGTTTTCAGTTTTTCTCTCGTCTTTAGACTTCATTGAGATATTGGATCTATTTATCGACATGAAACCATGTGAAAAGGGGAAAAAATCACTATTTGGTGGAGCTGTTCACTCATCCAAAATACGAGCCCAACTGCTCTTGGAAGAAAGGTTGGAAACCACCAGTTTAATCTTTTAACTATGTGTGGTATTTTAAAAGCTTGTTATACTATCCACTGGAAAGTAACTGCAGCTTTCAGATAGATGTAGTGGAGTAGAAAGTGCAGCATTTCCCTCTGAAATGTAGCAGAGAGGAAGAAGAAAGTAGAATTAAATGGAAAGTATCTCAAATTTGCAATTAAGTACAACATTTGAGTGCATTTATTGAGTTGCTTTACATGAGCGTAAATCAAAACATGATCATTTTGGGTCAAAATAAAACTCTTGATGAAGCTGGAATAAAGGCTTATGTTGGGTGGGGAAAGATGAGGTCAGGTCATAATATGCAGCAGTACAATTACACAAAATATGTGTGTTTTGCAAAATGCGGACGCCTTTTTAGAGCGTATCACTATCTGGTAAACAGGAAAAACCTTGAGATGAACTGGTGAGAAGTGGGGACGCACCGCTGCGCTGTCGCCTAATCAATACTTCACTGCAGAGCCCGTCTGATGAGACGCTGGTGTGGGAAGGTATCGGGTGATGTCTCCTCGGGCTCCGTGGATCTCTTACAGGACGGTTCAATCAGCTCAAATGGAAACAGCTCTGGGAGCCGGCACATCCGAGGCCCGTTCCAAGAAAGAAGTTTAGCGAGTTATTTGGACAAAAAAGCTAAAATCCCCTCAGATTTGTTACATGGATGGATGTAGATGAGTGTTTTACTTTGGAAAAGGTTCTGAACTTGGCTGCGTTCGCTGTGCAAGTCATGATATCATGTACAGTATTTTGTGAGGGGAGACACTGGGTATTCTTTGTGTCTGCTGCGATGAATTAATGTCTGTTTGAAAGCGTCCTGATGAAAAATACGACAGCATTAGTCATTTGTTCAGACAGCTATGTCTACATTCGGTGCCAGAGCGGAAGGTAGCGTGACTTTTATATTAGGGAGGAGGCTGGGATGGATGGAAGAGCCTGACTTCAGCTCCAGAGACACGTCAGGTTGCTTCACACTTCTGAGAAACATCAGGGGAAGCACCAAAACAGAGCAGAAAAAGTTAATTAAAGGAGAAAATTTCACTCAGATGTTCTGTCGTCCAGTTGATATAAAGCAAATGTTTCTTGTGTTTACTAGAGTTGGCCTTTAGCTGATGAAACAAAGATAGCTGTGGTTGGCTAAGATTAATGGACCAGTCCTACAGAAAACACCTGTTTCAGGGTGTTATTTAGATGTTTTGTCCACCATAAGATATTGTTTAGCCCACACCAAACAGCACACAGACAGAACGAATGAACAACATGTGAGAAAAAGCCTCTACAATTTTTTTTTTTCCAGAGTTGGTGATCAAAAAGAGCAAATTTTGCACAAATGATAGATGGAAACAACACAGATGAGAGCAGTAGCAAAGAACCAAAATGATGAAGTTGTAGGTTTAAACAAACGTACACTAACTCTCAGTGTGTTTATAGCTTTCAGCCACCTCGTTAATATTGCACGGCCCTTTGGACTATTTAAGTGTTATTAAGTGCACATATTGCTATTCTTCTGGCTTATTCTTATATTAGATTATTTGGACACAATTTTTGGTGGGAAGGATTTTTGATAGTGTTTTTGGTTTGTTTGTTGTTGTTTTTTTGCTCACGAATTTCAGAAGAAACTATGTTAAAATCCCCTTTCAAATGAATGGGAAGTCAGCTGGGAAGCTGCCAAAACCCAGCCATCTTTGCAACCCTGTAGCTCTGGCATATTTTACAGCAGAAACTTAATTCAAACTTAAATTGGTCACAGGGCTTTGAGTGTTACTCCTCTAAGTCTGTGTTTTGATATCATTTATGGTTTTTATGCAGTCGCAGTTAAGAATTTTTTGATAACCAGATTTTCTCTTCAGCTGAATAAAGTTGAAAGACCCTGTGTTTTAAATCTACACCTGCAAGCGGGTTATAAAAGTAAAGAAATGTTTATTCCACGACAGCACAGATCTGATGTTCTCTACAAGTAGATGGAGAAAGTATGTGCATTGTGCACTGTACTGCCACCTAATAATGCAGGTAACATGAACTAAAAAGGTAACATGCCAATGTTGTGTTCACAGTAGGAAAACAAAGGTTAGATCATTTTCTAAACCAACGTTTGGCAGCATTATCAATCATTAATCAATTCATGGTTTAAACATGAATTAAGCACAGTGGATACAACTCCATATGCTTGTGGAGTTTTGTACAGTACAGACAGGTAACATTCACAGCAGCAACAGCAGCTTGGTTAGCCACTCACCTCCATACCTGTGACTGTCTGTGGTGTCCGAGTGCTAAACAGCAACCAATAAGCACCACAGAAGTCTTTGTCATGGTGCCCATTACTAGCTAAACTCTAATAATGCTCTCTGCTTGTCAACATGAACTGTCTGTAGTCCAAGTGATACCTCCTCTGGTTGCTACATTGTTAAACAGCAAGAAGACAACCAGGTCCTACAACTGATCCAGAATACATTTTCTGACATGCATGTCCGTCATCTTCCAACCCAGCCTTCACAAAACTACGTTCCTATACAACCAAACTGCATTCTCAAATATATTCTGAAGGCATCGTAATTTTGTTCAGAAATAAACCTAATTTGTGACCAGAAAGGAGACCAGTTTGTAAGAGCGACAAAGTCTGGTGGACAGCTGGGGTGGATGGTTGGACTTTCATCCAAAAGACCAGAGTTTGTGAGTTTGGCTTTGAATCGGATTACTGATCAAAACTATGTGGTTATGTTTAGGAAAATATCACACTTTGTTGGACACGTTTACATGTTAGAAGTTTAGTTAATGTAAGGAAGCATAATTACTTGGTTGGGGTTGGATAAATATCACACATACACGCACTACAAGCTTTCCCTCCATTTTCTGGGTTACCATGGTAGCAATTCCCACCCCATCTAATTCATGATTGGCTGGCTGAAAAGCAGCGATACTTAAGCTGAACAATAAATGGCAGATATGTTGATTCAAAATGCATTGTTAAATGTACAAAAGCCTGCAATAAATATGTTTCCTGCAAAACATAATTTAGAATGCAGTTTAGTCTTCTGACTTAACAGTTAATAAACTTTTAATTGTTTAAGTTATTAGAGATTAGTCATTAATACTCTCAGGTCACAGCTTCTTTCTGCTGCCCCTTAGCTGTAGTTGTCTGAACAAATCACTGTTAAGTAACAATTACTCCTTCGTGTCTGATCAGCATCCATCTGTCAGGTGGTTTCCTTAACACCGACTCTGCACAGCTTCACCCTTGTAGTTGTAGTCAAACCTCAACCACAGCTGTGGCAGCTTCAAAAAGGCTCATATGAGTCATTCTGGCCCTGACAAATGACCTACTTTGGCCTGTAGGCGCTGCATGTTTCTTATCCTGCATGCGAACAATTGTTTTTCACACAAAGACTCGACGGAGGGATCAGGAGGAGGTTTGGTTTGGTCCAGCAGGAGAGAGAGAGGGAAGGAGGCAGGTGCAGGAGGAAACCAACTCTTTCCCAGAGCTTCAAAGCTGGAGGTTTTTGCTTGCACAACATCCAAACTGCACAAAACAAACACATGTTTGACACACATGTACAGCGCCGACACATGTGGAGGTAAACACACAAAAACACCCACAGCCCTCCCGGCGGAGTGAAGGATAGCGATCCTTTCCTGTCTGCTGGCCGGTGCTGGTATACTGTTATTGTTGAACAGAGATGAGTCAGTGCACAGGATGAACTGCCTTTTCACTCTCATGCTAATACTCAGGTCTTCCGTTTCCGTCCGTTACTGTGTGTGCGTGTGATAAATGGACTCCAGTGAGATCAAAACAAAGTGGAATTTATTTGAATAAACTCAAAGGCTTTAACTTGCATTTATTACCTACATGCATCTCTGTCAGGCCTCACAGCTGTGAAAACCATCACAGCTGAGCTCCTCACCGTGGATCTAAGAGCGAACACAAACATTTCAGTCTGTTTAAGGAATTAGGTTCAGGTTTGATGCACTGTAAGAAAAAAAAAAAAGTTATTTTGCAGATAACTAGTAAAACCACAGAATATTGTTAATTCAACTGTTTTGTTCAAGGGCTGGCTCAGTGGTTAGCACCGTTGCCTCGCAGCAAGAAGGTCACTGGTTGCGTCCCGAGATTTTTCTGATTTTTCCCGATGCAGTGTGGGTTCTCTCCGGGTTCTCTGGCTTCCTCCCACAGTCAAAAAACATGCTGAGGTTAATTGGTGATTCTAAATTGTCCGTAGGTGTGAATGTGAGTGTGCTTGGTTGTCTGTCTCTAAGTGTAGCCCTGTGATAAACTGGTGACCTGTCCAGGGTGTCCCCTGCCTTCACCCTGAGTCAGCTGGGATAGACTCCAGCCCCCTACGACTCTAGTGAGGATTAAGTGGTGTATAGATGATGGATGGATGTTTTGTTAAATAGATAATATTGCTAAAATCACAGAAAACTTTTTTTTGAAACCCAAAACTGTACATAATGTTCCTGTTAAAAATCTGTATTCTTTACCAATTTGATCATGAAATGTCATTATTTTTAACAATATTGAAATAAACAAAAAAAAAGCTTTTTGTTAATTGTTATTTTGAAGAAAAATGGTTTCAGAAATAAAACATTATTTTACACATTTTTGCATTTTTTTTTAAATTACAGAGTATAGAAATAAAAATTATATGCTGACAGTGACACACTCACAAAATCTGTATTTTAACTAAACACAATTTGTTAATTTACAATGTCTGTCCATGAAATGACACTGTTTTATGGTATTTAATTAGAAAAAGGGATTTATTTATTTGCTATTTTAAAGATATTAAAAAAACATTGAAAAATGGCAAACCATTTAATTTTTTGAATTTATTCTTTTTTAAAAAAAAATTTTAGACAGGATTTGTACTTTTACAGTGTGCATTAGACTCATACTACAAAGCTTTATTTCTCTCCACTTGTTCCACCTTCAGGCTATTGTCACTGTGAAGTCTTGGGACCACCCAGCGGCTGTTTCTGAGGATGAACCATCCCCCCGAGGACGACCATTACCTCAGCACATGGCTCAGAATCACAGGCCAACACACATGCATGGATGCAGAGGCCTGCAAACATGTGTGAGGCTGAGAGTTGGGGGATTCCCAGAGGGTGGTTCACACTGAGGATGAGGTCACCTCATTCTGTAGTGTTGCACACACACACCCCGAAACTTCTGGGTGAAAAATACGTTGAAATATGTCCACTTCAGATACACCCCGACAGTCACACACAGCCCCGCAGCTCTGGAGAATATTAAATATCGGTTTGAGAAGCATAAAGTATCTTGATATGTCGGAAATCACCCCCATTTGTTTTTACAGCTCTGGAGATCCGTTATTTGAAAGGCTATTGCGCATCCAGTTTCAGTATGAGCTCATGTGTGACCAGTGATGTTAAAGTCACACACTGACTTTGTTCCACTGCCAGAAAATCTCTGTTTGCAGGTCAGCGAGGGTGAATTGGCAAAGAAAAGCTTATAATGGACGCGAAGATTGAAGATCCCAACAGTGACAACAAGTCCTGAATGTGGGCTGATAAAGATGGACCAATCACCTTTAGAAATAAATGTCAAACAAAAAACCTTTGAACCATTTTCTTAAAAGACAGTCATCAGTCAATTTATTTTTGAAATGATTAAATCACAGCAGGCGTTTTTCAAAGCGATTTTCAACCATATATTTGCTGTAAAATCATTTTGGTTACATTAGGAATTTAAAGAACAACTAAATTAACACCAGCTTAAGGAATTATAAGCAGCAAAGAATGTATGACCGAGTGTTCAACAAAATCACACCATTTGTCAAAGTAAGAGACCGAGATAACTGAAATCAATCACTGGATGTTCAACTTTTTGACAAGGAATTTCTGTTTTGTCTTCAAAATTATCCAAATTTAAGCTTAACATTGTGGCATTTTATTAAAATCACCTTATTCTACAAGAATCACCAAAGATTAAGTACCAGAATGTTTAACAGAACTAAAAATGATGTGCTCCTGTGCTCCTCATCAGAATCGTAAAGCCATGACTGACTCAGCTATGGCCAGCAGTTACGTGGCAAACACACAAATGCCCCCCATAACATGATGCTGCCACCCCCATGCTTCACAGTTGGGATTGTGTTCTCAGGCTTACAAGCTTCCCCGTTTTTCCTCCAAATGTAACGATGGCCAATAAGGCCAAACAGTTCAGTTTTAGTTTCATCAGACCACAGGACATGTCTCCAGAAATGAAGGTCTTTGTCCCTGTGTGCATTTGCAAACTGTAATCTGGCTTTTTTTTTGTTGCTTTTGGAGTAACGTCTTCTTCCTCTCTGAGTAGCCTTTCAGCCCATGTTGGTTCAGGACTGGTTTCACTGTGGATAGTGACTCTCTCTTACCAGCTTCAGCAGCATCTTCATAAGGTCTTTAGCTGCTGTTCTGGGGTTGATACACACATTTCTCACCAAAACACTTCATCTCTGGGACACAGAACCCGTCTCCATCCTGAGCGGTATGATGGCTGGACATTCCCATGGTGGTTATATATGCGTATAATTGTTTGAACAGATGAACGTTGGAACTTCAGGCATCTGGACATTGTAGCCAAGGATGAACCAGACTTGTGGAGGTCCATAGTTCTCTTCCTGATATCTTGGCTGATTTCTTTAGATTTTGTTGTCACAAAAGGAGGCAATGTGTTTGAGATGTGCCTTAAAATACATCCACAGGTGTGCCTCCAGTTAACTCAGATGTTGTCAATGAACCTATCAAAAGCTTTCAAAGTCATGACATCATCATCTGGGCTTTCCCAAATAGTCTGAAGGCAAAGTAATCTTAATGTATGGAAACTTCTGACATTGAAGAAAATAACAAAAATTCTTTTAAAAATTCTCTCTCTCATTATTCTAGTATTTAGCAAATAGAAATAATTGTTGTAATTCTAACTGACCCTAAAACAGAAAAAGTTTAGTCTGATTTCATGTCTGCTCCTGAAAATGTGCCAGCAAACCTGGCAGGGATGCAGCAATCCCTGGATCAATCTGACACGTGGAAGAACTCCTCAAGAAGAAAAGACACTTCCTCCAGCAGGTCCAGAGAGCTGACTACAGAATTGGCCAGCTGGAGGCACTTCTGGACAAAAGCCAGCGCAAGTGCAAGGAGCTGGAGGAAACAAAAAGGCAGAACATTGCCGACAGCCACCAGAAGGAGGAGGTCATGATGGATGATGAGGGAGACGTCATGGATGACAGGGACGAGCTGACGGAGCAGCTTCGGGAGAAGGATAAGGAGATCCTGAGACTCTCTGAGCTTCTCCAAGAAGATGGAAAACTCCAGAGGGAGAAGAACAACAGACTGAAGGAGGAGAACCAGAAGCTACAGGAGGAGAATCAGAAACTGAAACTGAAAGTGGAGATGGAGGTAAAGGCTACAGCGACAAACAGGAGGCTGGTGGAAAGAAATAGAAGACTTCAGGAAGAGAAAGATGGACTAGAGGAGCAAAAAGAGAGGCTGCAGATGACAAATAAAGAGCTGCTGGAGGAAAACAAAACACTGCTGAGCGAGACAGTGATGGAGAACAGGTGGAAAAGACTGAAGGTGGAGAAGGAGCAGCTGGACTGTCACAAGGACGAGGAGGTCCAGAGGCTGAAGCAGCTCAATGACTCTCTGGTCTCCAACATCCAGAAGCAGTTGTTGGACAAGGAGACCCAACACCAGCACAGAGAGGAAGACTGGAGGTCTCAGCTCAGGGCTCTGGACAAGCTCTGAGAGGAGGCGGAGCAGCAGAAGAGAGAGAGATGGAGGAGAAGGTGAAGGAGCTGCTGGGGGAGCAAACAATCAGGGAAGAAGAGGCGCCAACACAAAAGATAAAGAAAAAGAGCTTCTGGCGTCGTCGTTTCATCCAGAAAGAGACACGACAGCCAGTTGAAGGTGGAGGAGGCAGCTGCTTGTTCACAGTAGCTCCCTCTGCCTCTTCCTTCCTCATCATCTCCTCACCGTTCTCCCTCCATCCTTCCTCACCTCTAAGCCCTCCCAGCCCTGACTCCCTCTACCACCCCGATTCTCCACCTTCTCCTCCTCTGTTCTCTCTTTGTCCTTCCTCACATCTCAGCTCTCCCAGCCTTGACTCCCTCTGCCTCCCTCTCCATCACCCTTCGTCCTCCCTCCTCTCTCCCTCCCCCACCACTCTCACCCCTTTCTTTTTCCCCGTCTACCCTCATAACTTCTCATATCCCCCCTTCTTCACCCCTTGTCCTTTCCTCACCATCTTTCTTCTTCTTTCATTATTTGTTTTTATGATTGGGAAAAAAAAATCCTGAAAACATAGTTAAAGAAAGAAAAAAAATGTTTCTGCATGTGTGGATGACTCAATCTTTTTTAACAGTTCACGTGTCATTTCACGGTTTTCAAGTTAAAATAAGTTCAACTGAAATTATTTTCAGGTGAACTGAACAGGCAGTGATTGCACAGAGCAAACAGGAGAGGAGAATAAAACATGCTGGATCAATAAGATAAATGCAACATGGTTTAAAAAAAAAAAAAAAGAAGAAGTGTACAGAGGAGCAAGTTGTTGGAAAATACATTCAGCATGGTGAAACATCTTCCTACAGATGATGTGCAGAGTAATGTGAAAAAGTTTACAGAGGTTACACAAATGGAAACAGTTAAATATTTAAAACATGTGGAGAGGAAATGACCACAAAATGAGATTTGCAACAAACACAAAACAAAACTATCAAACTTTTTTTTTTTTTTTTTGCAAAAGCTCTTCAACCACAATTCAAAAGCAATTTTTTTTTGCAAAAGAAAGAAATTCAGCCTCTTTTCTTTTAAATGATTTCTGTCATTCTAACTGTGCCATACTGCACAAATGACATTTCTACTTCTTCGTGGTTGTGATGTTTCTACAAAGGTGCAGGACTTTATGAAAAATAAGCCCACAGTGAGCAAAAATGTGACAGGAGAAAAAAAAAGACACCCACAAACTGCTGTTTTGAGTTCAGTGACTGTAACATGTGGAAGTGACAGACAGCAAGTTTCCATCTTGAATAAGTTCTTCAAAGTACCAAAAAAGAGTCAGTAGTCTGCTGAGATGTTAGTTTTGAATGAGTTCCTGTAGCGTAGTGATGTCTATCCATGCAGATAATAGCAGGTTTTCCAGGTCTTAGAGTCCAGTTCTTAAGATATCAGCCTCTTAAACTTCTACCACAACACACAGAACTGGAAAAAAATGACATTTGAAAAACATCAGCAGCAACGGTTCTTCCCAGAAACAATGTCCTGGTTGCACTGGCTAATCCACAGACCTCACTGGACGGCTTCACTGGGACTATTTCTTTTGTAGAAAGTAGGTCCAACGAAAACTGTTCGGATTGAGGTCTGTGGATTATCCAGAGCGACCGAGGCATTCTTTCTACAAATAGATGTTCCTCTTAAGTTTTTCAATTGTAATTTTTCAACACGTTGAACACCACAAAAGCAGGATTCCAGTCACCTCCATCATTGCGTTGGGGGTGGTGACAGAAAACTCACAGGAGGATATTTCAACACTTCAGCACATAAAAACCAAAACTATCTGCATCGCTAGCTGTAAGCACGAAATATGTTTGTTTTTTGTGTGATTCACGCAATGACCCTTTAAATTATTTAGGTTGTAGCTGACTGATTGTGGCCTACATACAAAGTATTTCCGCATCCAACAGACAAGTCCTGCTCTGTGCTGTCTGGTTTTGACAGCACCCTGCATGCTGCTCTCAGACTTTACATACGGGGCGTAGCGGTCTGCACAAACTGTCATAAACATGTCCTGCAGTGAGGAATGGGAGGAATATTTCAGGACAAACCTCAGACTGACCTGGGAACAGCATGCCAGTCCGGCAGCTCAATCGTGTAATCACTTGGAAATGTTTGAACACACAAATAGACATACACAGGAATGTGAGCATGCGATGTGCATACAGACGCTGTTGCAGTTGTGTGTTCCCTCCCTCTTTCTCTGGTTCTCACACACATATACACGATATGCACTCGCAAACAATGTCAAACCACAACTGAGTCACTTTGCTTCCTGAGGGGAAACTGGCTCCACAAGGAGGGCAGCGAAGGCACTCCTCGGCAGTTGGCCGATAGAGCTGACAGCAGCACATGTCGTCCCATACACTCTGCTCATCTGGGCATTCATGTACTGAGTAAATCTCCAAAGTTATAGGAGCCTTCAGGGGTGTCCCAGGTTTTTACTTGACCCTTTGATGGTAGAAGGTGAATTGAAAAATGCTGCAAAAACAGCCATTTCAAATATCACTGAGAGTTAAAACCATTGTCTGACCATCTAAAATAATATTTGTATAATTACAATCAGCACCGTCAATCATTAAGTGTCACCAGTGACTTTGTCATGGTGCCCCTTTACCAGCCAAAACCTCTCTATGTTCTCTACTTGCCAACATGGAATTGCCCACCTCCTCTGGTTGCTACAAGACTAAAATAGAGCTAATCAACTACATTTGAAGGTGTATTGTGTAAAAAAAAAAACAGAATCAGGTAATGACAGACAAGAAACAGCTATTTCATATATCACTGTGATGTAAAACCATTGTCAAGGCCACAAAAATAATATTAAATAATACTTGTTGGCTGGATGGATGTCATTAAGCGTCAGAACTCTGTCATGGTGCCACATTACCAGCTAACCCCTCACAATGTTCTCTGCTTGCCAACATGGAACTCTGCTGGTCACTACAGTATTAAACTACAGCTAATCTACAACACTTGAAAGTGTAATATCTAGGAAAATTTCATTGGATACTGGCAGACATTAAATAACTCAGATTGGAAGAAACAAAAACAAGAATAAAAAAAACTTGATCCCTAGTACTATGTAGGCATGTCCCCAGCCTGATCCTAAGATCACAGCAGTTTTAATTGATCAGTATTAGCAGAAGGTGAAGACAGACCCCCCTTCCGCGAAGCCTTTGAAAAATTGAACCTTAAATGGGACATTCTGAGGCTATCTGATGGAGAAATTTTAGCTCATGAAACTTCAGAAATCAAGACATTATCAACTGTTGAGCAATTGTTGTTTGGTTAGAATGGTAATACAACTGTGCTCTGTAAATGAAAACATGACAGATACTAGTATTGGCAAAACTTCTATTTACTGGTACTTGGACTGTTCCTACATGCTCGTACTGCACCGTGATGCACATACATATACTTTAACCAGTGTAACAGTGTCAGGGAGCAAGACCTGCGGGATGACATCTTTAAATGCCCAAGCGTTAACAAAAACAGCTTGCGACCTTTTCTGTCAAAGGTCCCGCTCTAAAGCTGTTGTAGAGAAATTCTCTGAGAGGTGGCAGCTGATGCTCAGCAGCATACATGATGCAAGCTGATCCCCTGAAGCCTGTTTCTCTGGTCAGTCTTCACCTACAAATAGAAACAATAATGAGATTGTTTCTCTCATTTTCCTACACCCTAATCATTTTAAAAATGTTTCTAGTTTGTGTCTGATGATATATTATTACACTATTTTTTACCTGACCTTCATCTGGCTAGAATCATCATCATCATGTGTCTTTCTCCTCTTAGAGATATACTTGAACAAGCTCATCTGAAGATGCAGTCAGCAGTTCCATCACGGCGTGTAGATGTTAGCTTAATGCGATCAGTTAGTTTACTGATGTTAGCAACACTGAGTAGGCCCCAGGCCCAATTAACTTAAGATACCGATATGCTACGTAGCAATAGCGGGCCATCAATGTTTTGCCAAAGTCTATTTGGCTTGTAAAATCTATTCTGAGTTACCTTAAGCTAATAAGTCTACCTTTCCTCCAGTAAATCGATGCCCTATTCTCCAAGACGATCCTCCTCTGACTCTACCCCTTTTCCACCAAGAAGAACCAGGTGCTAGTTCTGTGCTGGTGCTAGGGCCAGTGCTTAGTTGGTTCCAATCTGCCACCTCCAAAGAACCGGTTGCTTTTCCTTCGGCCAGGAGCCAAGTTAGAGCCACGCCATACATCACTGCATTATTTTTTACTAGTGTGACCAACTTTCTCATTTGTTCGTACTTCCCACCTTGTCACAGACAAAACAAATGACCGGCTAAACGTTTTCTTATCAATAGACTCTACAGTTTACGATGTTCCCTGAACTCCCCACACAGCAGGCTGCTGTCGCTGCTTTAAAAGAGCAAACCCGGGCGTTTTAATGTCAGATTTGTCCAAGATGAAACCAAGTCAGTTTTTTGTTTTGTCACGCGGTCTTTTCTATGAGCGGAATAAACAGCGTCACTTTCAAGGCCGTCTCTCGTGAGCAATTAACGTCGCATAAACCCCCAGAGAGTAGATACTGTACAAGATATTTATCTGTAGTTTACCTTAGTGCTCGCGAGTAATTAATGTCGTATGAACCCCTCAAAGAGTAGAGACTGAGCAAGATAGTTATCTGTAGTTTACTGAAGTAGTCGCAAGTACCCAACCCAGTGCAGGACTCTGCTGTGAAGGTGGAGACATTCGGAGGTGGTGTATTTGCAACAATTAAAAAAAAATTTAAAAAAAGAAAGAAATTTAAAGAAGCGGCGGCGAGGATTTAGGAATGGCGGGCCGCCACTGCTGTTAAATGAACGTACAGGAAACACTGGGTAAGAGGGCACAAGCCGGGAGTATGAGGGCACAAAGTCCCTGTAACACTATTTAGACAAACCTCTGGATAGCATGTACAAGTTGCTGGGAGTTTAGATGTTTAGATTCTCGTCTGTCATGGAGGCGTCT